AGAAGACCTTCCAGCTCTGTGTGTGTGCAGTGTTTGATGTGCAGTGCAGTAAACAGCACAGAAGAACTCTGCTCATTCTGGTGTCTCCCCAGAGATATGCCAGTGCATAAGCACACTAATGAGCAGGGTGATTACGAGAACGCTTTCAGGAAAATGTTACAAATGTAAATGTGCATGGCTGTCTCTGCTGTGACAGAAAGCATGTGTGTTTTTACACATGGATATGCATGGTTTGTCAGATATAGGGAAGTGATTAATAGTGAAAGAGTTTTTAATATCTGAAATCCTTTTTCCTTTCATCTCTTCAGTTTGGGTGTTTTGGGTTTAGAAACCGAAAGAGAACGCTAGGGAATTATAAATTATAGTTAGAGATTGCTGCGATTTTCAAATTGGTTGATTATTTTCACTGCTGAGTTGTTGAACTGCTACATTACATACATTACATAATACAAGACATTGTGTGCAGAACTGGCTAGTGGAACAACCGCCTATGATTTGCTCTTGTATTCAAAGCTACTTGAACAATTTTAATCTGCTGTAAGCAGGGGAGACCAAGGCAGTTGCACTTTAAAAACATTTTTTAATTTTTCTTCAGAACTCTCAGGCTATTACAAATGTATCAGCTGTGTTTTAGTGTGTGTGCATGTGCGTGTAAGTATAGAGAGAGAGTGTACCAACTGTCCCTGTCACAGTGGTCGTCCACTTCACCTCACGTGAGAGCACACCTCAGAGTACTAATATCATACTGCATTAATATTTACTAATAATACTGAACCGTTTTCTCCTTTATTCTGGCACAAATTTTTTTAGCTGTCAGAAATTATTTGTGTTCAGTCATAGTTGGACCTAGGTAATTATTATTTGATAAAATGTTTTTTTACTAAAAGTAATTGTTTAGTTAAGTAGAACAGTACTCTCGATAGTTTTAATGAAATAATGTTAATTGTGCATTATGAGCACTTTCAATTTGGTCATTTAATTTTTCTCTCAAAACTAGTGTTGTTGCATTTGCACCGACTCTGTGGTAGCTGCCAGCTACAGTGTTTGCAACTTTTAACCAACAACCTATCGATAAAGAAGACAAATGTTTAAACTCAAAGGCATCAAAACTTTAACAGAAAATAAAAATGGGCATCAGATTTTTATATAAAGTGACAAGATTGTTTTTCTCAGGCAGAGAGAGAACACTACTGAATACAGCGTACACTCTAAAAAATGCTGAGTTGTTTCAACCCAATGTTGGGTCAAATATGGACTAACCCAACTGTTGGGTTAAATTTTGGTTACATTTTTAAATTAACTTTTTAACCCAACAGTTGGTTAGTCCATATTTGACCCAACATTGGGTTGAAACAACCCAGCATGTTTTAGAGTGTATGCTGAAAAGTGTCATCACTGTTATTGAAGAAATCTTGTGCGTTACAATTGCCCCTGGTCTCCCCGACTACATTGGTCTCCTGGTCTCCCCGACTACATTGATAAATATTTTTGCTCTTCTGGCTCAGAATATATACATGTTCACACATATAGACAGTTGCAGTATTATATTTTGTTTTAGAGTTGTGTAGCTAAGGCATTAATCAAATGCGTTAACATGCCTACTCTTTCTCTCTTTCACATGAAGCATGGGAAAGTCTGATTCATTTCAGTGATATGGTTAGTGGGACTCTTCATTTAAATGAACCAGTTCAGAAAACAATTCATTTTAAACTATTCTTTTAAGTCCCAGTCTAGATGCCTACATTTGACTTTCTTTTAAGTCTAAAGACACAAAATAAGGCGTTTTCTTGTTTTACTGGCAGTATCTTTGGATAGATTTAATTAGCTTTACTGCTCTTATTGCAAATAAAATAAATTATCTGATAGTTAAGTATTTAAATAGATATTGAGTGCTGTTAGCTGACTGAATCTTCAATGTAATTGAACTACAGTAACTTGAAATTATAAGATGCAATTTCACATTAGCTCCCACTGCAGAATGTATTCATTTATTTTCCTTTTTCTGCATGCATGAAGGGTGGACATGTTATTTTTGTCCATTAGCTTATTACATACCATCTATCCAGACAAATAACCCTCAGGAATTTCTCAGGCACCTTATCAAGGGACTTCCAGAAAAAAAAAACTAATTTTAAAGCAACTGGGACGAATCAAATGTAATGACAAACCATTTTGGGAATAACAAGAGGGGAGGATTTATCACTAAATAACCAGAAGCTGAGCAATTATGTCATGCATGAGCTGGCCATGAAACCAGTGTCTGATGTGCAGAGATCGCTCTCGAGGCCCAACGCGCAGGTGCACAGTGTGAATGTGCTCGTTTTTTTTCCTCTGATGGCCTCAACTGGTGATGGCAAACTCGGAGAATGGGATCTGCTTAGTCATCTTTATTCATTTCTTTGTTCTATATCTGCCGGCATTACATTTTGTCACATTTGTAAAAGTTTGTCTTTACAGCAAAGCCCGTTGTGGGCAGAGGAAATCGTTACCTCCCTGCAGACTTAATTAGGCTGGATGGTGGGGGTCGTCGCCCACGTGCTCTCGGTTTCCGTTCTGTTTCAATAACCTGTCAATAGAAAGCAAAAGAATAAAGCATGCATTGTGGGTGCTATGCCTCAGTGCTGTCTCTGCAGGCGTTTGGCACCTTTGATTTAATAAACTCATCAATGATCACTTCTAAAATGAAGCTGATCACTGATAGCGCTTCTGAATCCCAGAGCATCGATTGCAATGTTCATTAATTCACCGAGCACTTCCGCCTCCCCCTTGAGATCATGTGTTATTATACAGGATTTTTTTTCCTTTTAATATAGTCCTGTGCAATGATTATTGCATGTTCTGCCAGTCCTCGCCTGCAGATGGGCTCAATATGGCAGATTTTATGAGCACCTATATTAGAGCTGTAGTGGTGAGAGATTCAGTCCATAAGTAGCCCTGGGTCACATAGTAAACACTGCTGATTGCGGATCGACTAGCCAGTCAGAAGCAGTATACCAGTCAGGTTTGAAATGCCACTCTGGAGAAAAATGAGACTAATAATCTACCCAACAGAATCCTCCGTTTTAACAACAAAATGTGCAGATCAATGGTCATTTGATCGATGCTTCTTAGATGATTTATTTACGAGTCATAAAACCCCCCGTTTCTATGGACACTTGAACAAGAGGATATGAAAAATCCAGTCGGTTGCTGTCTGAGGGCTAGGATAAGGCATTTGGCGCTGTTATTTTATTGTTTATGGTGCAAAGCATTTGCTTTTGGCTACCGTGTGACTCCACGTAATGGAGTCATCCATTGCAGCTTTCTCAAACAAACAAAGTATCTTTGTTCTCTTTTTCTTGTTCCAACAATTTTCTAATCCGTCATCGTCTTCTGCACCAGTGACCTAAGATTTATCCATCAATATGTGCGAACAACAGATTGATTTGACCTTTCCTGTGTTACTGCAGGTGTCTGGTGCTATTTGGATTGCCTTGTATTTGACCAGGACGCATGCTTGCACTGCCTCCTCTGCTGGCAGTTGCAGACTACAGATGTAGCTCTCGTGCGGGAAGCGGCGTCTTTGCCACGCTTATGAACGTCTCTGCTTTGTTTCATCTTGTGGCAGATGTCTGGGAGATTATGTGTGTGCATGCTTTCAGTGCATTGTTTTCTTCTTATGGACATGGTTTGTGGCGGTATGATGGTGTAAACATGTACCAGGTGCTGCAGGCCTGGGTTTTGTGTTTAGAGTGACTGCTAACAACACAGCAGATGTTGAAGTCAAGAAAACGAGGAAGGGTCAGAGGAACCTGATTCTTCAGACTAACCCTGTTCTGATCCAGATTAAAAGGTGCAGGCGGTCTTTTATAAACAGCAGTCCTGATATGTGAATCATCACAACAACAGGAACGTGCTAATGCAGACTATTTAGCTTTTACCAGCATGCTGATTCATTATGCTTCAGTCTTGGTTAAGCGTGTTATTTACATTCGTAAATGGCACTAATTAAATATATTAAACAGACAATGCATTATAGTCCCCATTTTGTTAAGTGATACATATTATTCTGTGTTAAAGCAGGTGTGTGTGTGTGTATATATGTGTGTGTGTGTGAAGAGAGCATTCAGAACAAACCGTTTCTCTAAAATGAATCAGAATTCTCAAAGCTTCATACAAGAGGGAGAGTGGACATTGTTTCAGCTTGTTTGATTATTGCCTTTATAAAATTGATGGTGCAATACTATATTAGAATAGTTATGTAGCTAAGGATTTTTCAAACGGGGTCTCAGTCATAAGTAATTTTATTTTGTAAATAATAAACACATTATACATAACTATTTTAATAATTAATTATATATTTTTTAATTATAATTCATTTTATTTATTAATTTTATGGTATTGACAGCCATAGATGTAAGTTAATAAATCTAGTACTTGATGAGTAAATATGAGTACCATAATGTTGGGTCGAAAAAAATACAGTATCAACTAAATATAATAGTTTATTGCACAATATAATTATTTTGTTATACATATATTTTTTACACACACACACATATATATTTGCTAATAATATGTTTATTTGATATGTAATTATATACATTTTTGCAGTAAAAGCTGCCTAGTTTTTATAAACTGTCCCTCACAGCTAGAGTGCCATAAAACATTTGAAAAATCCCTGTCGTAGCTTATTACATGAGGTTTATTATCTCTGATGGCCTGTGTCATTAAACCCTCATACCCTATATAAGCTCTATAATAGATTCTAGAACATTTTCTGGTCCTCACATGGGCTCATTTGAAATCAGTGGAGTGATTGTGAAACCATCATACGTCAACTTGTGATTCAATTAACACCATTCATGTCATAATATTGAGAAATCACTCAGATGTAATTTAATCACTGGAATGGACATTATGGAAATGCATGGATTATTAGTGTTTGATTCATTTGATTAAACGTATTTAATCTTGATTAATCTTTCTGACCCCTCCCCCTCCCCCTCTTTAACATGCAGTTGCCCCCACAACCTCCACCATACGTTCGGAGTTCTTCAAGCCGTGCCAAGCCAGTCAGGAGATGGCCTTCTGTTTGAATGAGGGAGAGTGCTTCATCATTGAAACAGTGGCAGGTGTACACAGACACTGCAGGTGAGCCTATGTGTGTGTTAGATTAAAGATGTTTTCCATCTTTACCATTTCCTCAATAACAATGACAAACCCCAAAGATATGCATTTTTATGGTTCTTTCCGAGTAGCTATAACCATTTTTACTAATCCATGGGCAAATGCAAAAAAAACTAAGACTATCTGCGCTGGATTGGGTTAATGTATGCTGAAAATCACAAAAATAGAGTGCAAATTACTCCAATGATGTGAGATGAAAGTAGAAGTCATGCTGAACGATGTGGTCTATTTTGGACATATTGGCACATGGACTGTGAATAAGGTTGAGAACTGGTTCCATTTTTAAAATAATGCCAAAAACGAATGATGTTCTGTTAATGGTTAATGCATATGCATGCTTCCACTGATACCATAATAATATATGTTTGCATAGAAAAACAATGGAAAAGCGTTCCAACGCATTCAGCGTGAAGGCAAAGATTAAAGATGTTTTCCATCTTTACCATTTCCTCAATAACAATGACAAACCCCAAAGATATGCATTTTTATGGTTCTTTCCGAGTAGCTATAACCATTTTTACTAATCCATGGGCAAATGCAAAAAAAACTAAGACTATCTGCGCTGGATTGGGTTAATGTATGCTGAAAATCACAAAAATAGAGTGCAAATTACTCCAATGATGTGAGATGAAAGTAGAAGTCATGCTGAACGATGTGGTCTATTTTGGACATCTTGGCACATGGACTGTGAATAAGGTTGAGAACTGGTTCCATTTTTAAAATAATGCCAAAAACGAATGATGTTCTGTTAATGGTTAATGCATATGCATGCTTCCACTGATACCATAATAATATATGTTTGCATAGAAAAACAATGGAAAAGCGTTCCAACGCATTCAGCGTGAATGGCCCCTAAAAGTCCTGCAATACGACAAAATGGTGCCATAGCACAGCTACTCTTACAAGCGTTTTTTTAATCAAAATCCTACTGTTCTTTTTAGTGAATCAGAGACAGCGCAATGCTATTGAGTGGTTTCTTTTCAGTGAATCAAAAATATATAGCTAAGCCAGTGTAGTCCAATTTCTGAACAAATCACTCTGAGTCGGTTCTTTTTAGAGAATCAGAGACATTTAGTGCAACTAGAGTAGTCCAATTCCCCAACAAATTATGCTATTGAGTCAGCTCTTTTCTGTGGTATCAAAAACATACAGTACAGCTCAGCCAGTGTAGTCCAATTTCTGAACAAATCACTCTGAGTCGGTTCTTTTTAGAGAATCAGAGACATTTAGTGCAACTAGAGTAGTCCAATTCCCCAACAAATTATGCTATTGAGTCAGCTCTTTTCTGTGGTATCAAAAACATACAGTACAGCTCAGCCAGTGTAGTCCAATTTCTGAACTCTGACTGACTGACTTAAATCAGTTCTTTTTAGTAAATCAAAGACATTTTGTGCAATCAGTGTAGTCAGTTTGCTGAACAGAAGATTCTGAATGAAACTTTTTGTTAGTGAATCAAATGCATACAGCTTACAAATAAGTGTGAGACTTAAATGGGAATCGTTTATCCACTGTTCATATGTGTAGCTAACACATTATGAGATAGTATTTGATCAAAATAAAATAATTACTTTTTAACACTCTGTTTGTTTAGTATTGTTGTGTACTATATTGTTAAGCTCAATTATTGTATTGCATTTATGGTGCCTCTAAAAGTGAAAGAGACATTTAGTGCAACTAGAGTAGTCCAATTCCCCAACAAATTATGCTATTGAGTCAGCTCTTTTCTGTGGTATCAAAAACATACAGTACAGCTCAGCCAGTGTAGTCCAATTTCTGAACTCTGACTGACTGACTTAAATCAGTTCTTTTTAGTAAATCAAAGACATTTTGTGCAATCAGTGTAGTCAGTTTGCTGAACAGAAGATTCTGAATGAAACTTTTTGTTAGTGAATCAAATGCATACAGCTTACAAATAAGTGTGAGACTTAAATGGGAATCGTTTATCCACTGTTCATATGTGTAGCTAACACATTATGAGATAGTATTTGATCAAAATAAAATAATTACTTTTTAACACTCTGTTTGTTTAGTATTGTTGTGTACTATATTGTTAAGCTCAATTATTGTATTGCATTTATGGTGCCTCTAAAAAGACAGTGAAAAAATAATTAAGTCCGGCATATTTATGTATCACTTTATACAATACAGATTGTTTCAAAGCAGTTGTACAGAAGATAATAGTGTCATTATTCAGATCAGTGTAGTTAATTTTTGTTTCAGTTTAGTTCAATAACTGTGTCAATGTTGCAAAGTTAATCAATTATGGCTCTACAGAAGGTGGTGGTGTCATTGTTGATGTTAATCTAATAATCTAGCTCAATTGTCATCCAATGTGTCAGTTCCGTTAAATCAAAAATAGTATTAAAGAATCATTAATAGAAACATCAAGGAACCAGATCAGATGCAGAATCATATGACAATTTCCATCACTGGCTGTAAATCTGAGGGTGCTTTGCCTTGAGCCATGCCATGAGAACTTGCAGATGTTTAGGAATATCCATTTAGTTGTATGCCTTATCAGAGGTTCTCTTTGCTCCCCAAGCCCCAAGACCTGCCTGCTCCTCTTTTTCACTAAAATGTAATCATGTTTTTTAAGTGTTTTTTTTTTTAAATAACCACCACTCCCTCAGGCTAAAGGCTTAACACAGGCTAATGTTCAGTAGAGCACATGCAGTAAATGTAATCAGAGGTTTTACCCATATTATGGCAGTTATTTCTCTCCATCATTTTCTCTTTTATCCTTTTTTTCCGTTTGGCCTTTTATCAAACCCACTAAATGGATTGTTGTTCCCAGTCATTGCCATAGTAACAGACCTTTGGTGTTCATTATATGCACACAGATAATAGAGCTGTGTCCGAGTATTGCTGTAATATAAACTATTTATAATTTAATGTTCATGGCACAGGGAGGGTGCCTCCAATATCAGTCGTTTGTGCAATTGTGAATTGTTTTCCACCACCTTTATTGCACTTATAAAGTGAACAGGGGTAATGAGAAAGCCAGGTTTCCCATAATATTAGATTAGATGTTCATAATTAGTAAATGTGATATACTTTTGTATCCGTTAATTACATTTTAAAACATGCTGTGTTATTTTATCACAGTCATTTGCCTGTAAATGTCTTGAAGGATGGCAGAAAGAGTGCTAGAGTGGAGAATTACAGTGTTAGGATTAATAAACAGAATGTGTCTATTTCACACCAAGGAAAATCTGACAGGAGGGATTGTTCGATGCACTTCACTGAAGACAAATGATAAAGACGTAGATGTATAATGCAGGAGCAGGATCTTGGAAACCTTGGTAGGGGTATTAAGGGATATGACTTGACAAAATGAATCATATTAATGATGACGATATCCTCTTTTTCAAGTTTCTTATCAAGCACTCTCTTTTCCGAGGAAGCAGTGGCGATTAAGCTGTCAGATCTCGACACACAGTGTTAATCCAGGAAGCTGTCTTTCCTCCTTTTCGATAGCTTTAGGGAGGACTTGCCGCACTTGTACCCTCTTTAATGCCCAAATAACATCTGAAGGATGTTAACTAAGTAAGACTACAGTCATGGCCAAAAGTTTTGGCAGTGACATAAATTTTGTGTTTTGCAAAGTTTGCTGCTTAAGCTGTTGTGGTGTTCATTCACATTGTTTCTAGATTATTGTGTAGAGTGATCAGATGCATTTTAAATAATTGCTAAAAACATAATTTGCCAAAAAATTTTCTTTTCAACAAAAAAAAAATTCACTGTTTTTGGATCCTGACACAAAATGACCAGCTAACATTAACGGACTAATCATATCAGCAGCACATGTGAAAGTGTGAATGAGAACTAGTCAGGTTAATCACTATCATACTAATTAGATTGTAAGAGCAGACTGATTGCTATAAAAGGAGGAAAGAAGCGCTTCCAATCATTGTGTTCTTGTTAGCAATGGTTGCCTCCATCGCTTGCACGTCATCATCACTCACATGCAAGGAAATTGCTACAAAGAATATTGCACCTGAAAGAACCATTTACCGGATCATCAAGAACTTCAAGGAGAGAGGTTCGACTGCAGTGAAGAAGTCTTCAGGACGTCCCAGGGTGTCCAGCAAGCGCCAGGACCGTCTCCTCCCGAGGAGTCAGCTACGGAATCAAGTCACCAGCAGTGCAGAGCTTGCTCAGGAATGGCAGCAGGTTGGTGTCAGAGCATCTGCACGCACAGTGAGGCCAAGACTTTTGGACAACAGCCTGGTGTCAAGAAGGGCAGCAAAGAAGCCACTTCTCTCCAATAAAAACTTCAAGGACAGACTGAAATTCTGCAGGAAGTACAAGGATTGGACAGCAGAAAACTGGTGCAAAGTTATTTTCTCTGATGAAGCTCCCTTCCGACTGTTTGGGACATCTGGAAAATCGATGATGTGATTTGCCAACAGTGAAGCATCCTGAGACCATCCATGTGTGGGTTTGCTTTTCGACCAAGGGAGTGGGCTCTCTCATAATTCTGCCCCAAAACCCTGCCATGAGTATAGAATGGTATCAAAACGTCCTGCAAGAGCGACTTCTTCCAATGATCCATGAGCAATTTGGTGATGATCCGTGCATTTTCCAGCATAATGGAGCACCATGTCACAATTTCACTCATTGCATTGAAATTTTGGATCCATTGGCCAGGCAACTCCTCGGATCTCAATCCCATAGAGAACCTGTGGTCAGTCCTCAAAAGGCGAGTGGTCAAACAGAAGCCCACAAATTGTGATCAACTCTGAGAACTAATAAGACAAGAATGGATCGCCATCAGTCAGGATTTGGCCCAGAAGCTAATATCCAGCATGCCAGAGCGAATTGCAGAGGTTATGAAGAACAAGGGTCAACACTGTAAATATTGACTCATATTTTTTGCCAATAAAAGCCTTTAAAACGTATGATATGCTTATCATTGTTTTTCAGTATACCCAGTGGTGTAATGTAACGAAGTAATCATACTT